TCTGAACCCCCCCCCCCCCGTATTGGCTCACGAACTTGGCGCTTGTTTCGTATAATAGACCCTTTGCGCAATAAGCGAGAGGGGTCGAGACGGGGCATGCTGTGCACGCGCTGCACACTTGGCATGCAACCAGCATGCATGGTTTTGCTGCAGGACGTGATCAAGTTTCCTGTGACAGGCTGTGTTTTCACGGTCCCGACGCGATGTTCATGTATGTACTCTCCAGCCTTTTTCATTTTCAAGTTTTTCTAGTTCTGAAGGAAGAAGTCCCGAAATGCTTTCCAAGGACCACTGTTGGGTTCTTGTTTGCAGCAACCGTCATCCCTAACGTTAGTCTAAGGAACCCACTTGTCTTTCCATGCGTTTCCTGGTGATGCTGGCATTCCACACTCTGGAATCCTGTCTATCTGGCGAGAAGAGGGCCGGGTACCGAGGGCCGCAGTGCTGCGATATCGTTTACAGTGTTGTGCTCGGAACACTTTGTCCATGACGACTTTCATCCTTGCTTTTGCGAAGATATGGAACGCCCTGCCAAGAGACTCTGGAGCTTGAGAAAAAGGCATGACCCATCCCTGTCTTCGCTATTGGAAGATCGACTGCTTGCTGGCGCTGCTCGAGCTGCTGTTGTTGAAGTGGAGAGAGACGCGGCCTCATCGCTCAGGTGTGCGGAGAAAGTCATCCGAGTTCGAGCTGTGGCTGTGTGCACGATATGACAGACTTTCACATTATGCACATAGCCACCAAAGTAAAACTCATGGACACTATCCACGGGCTTGTTCACTAGTACTACTCCATCAGCTCCCTCTTCACTGTCGTCGGCGACTTGCCCCTGCGTTGGAGACGAGCAAGCATGGTGTGGCACTCACTCTGGGAAACAGAGGTTCATCACTCATCCACTGGGACGCATGAAATGTTGGGCATGATGAAGGTACACTCGAGGAAGTGGTGCCCTTCTTAGTTCTAGGAGCATCAGGGTTCTGCATAGAGAAGTGTTCTCTACATCGACAGAGGAGAGAAGGTAGAGAAAATAAAAATAAATTTCAATCTACAGTAATCCGAAATATCCCCTGAATGCGGAAAACTTACCGCTCCAACAACTCCTTCTTTTTCCAGACAGATACGCACCCTCATTCAGCAGAAAACTGTTCAGTTCCTTACACAACCGATCTTCATTTGACAGTTCGTCCACGGGTTCCACAGCCATCGATGGCAAACCACTCGACACTCTCTCCTCCATCTCCAAAATGGAAAAATACAGTGTTCCACCATGCTCAACAACTGATACTCTGCACAAAAATCGAAGAGGATGCCCCGTCTCGGATCACGTGACCGTTATTGTGCAAAGGGTCTATTATACTAGGACAACTGAAAGAGGAGTTGTGTACATGATGGTTTGGTGGGCGCTTGCATGCATGCTCTTTTACTTTGGCATGGGTGCACAGGGGAAACACGTTTATGTCGCTCATACTCGGCCAGTACCGCTGCTCATCCAGCCCTTGCTGTTATCGCGGCGCTGATTGGATTCCGCGGTACTGCGCTCGTACTGGTGCAGGAACCTGTACGGGTACTTCACTGGCTGTGGTACAAATGTCTGCGAGGTGGACTGAGGTTGCGATGGTGATGGCAACCTACTTTGAACATTGTCAAACAGATCTTGCACGGCCTTATCACGAGCCCCAGCTGCATGCAATAGATGCTCCATATATTTCATCAGGACACCCATTCGAGACACAAACCCTGTCCCTCGTTCATGGAGGACAGTTCAAATCCGGTACCGTTCTCTGATTGTTCCATTAGGAATAGTCACTCGTCCACGAGCTCCAGTACGAGCAAAATTAATACACAAAATAATTCAAGACAGAGTTTAGATTGCGCAAACTAGTACTTCAGAAGTAAAAAAACAACTGGGCCCGTGCAAACACTTCAGGGTGCGGACACTGGAAAGAACAAGTTCAATGCGGCATGATACATTACAGGTACCATTTATTCGATGAAGACTTGCGAATGGAAACAAAGCATGTCATGGGAAAATCAACAGGAAACAGAAGCACGCATAACTAATACGTGTTTGTGCTTGCATGCAACTCAAATATGACGTAGTAAGTATACAAATATAACGTACTAAGTACAGATGCTAATCAATAACAAATTCTGCACGGGCAAGAGAATCACTGTCCTCGACGGCTTGCTTATATTATAGCTCATAGTTCACGAGGAAACGAGGAAATCTAGCGCCTTTAAAGGGGAAGTCCGGTGAAAAATTTAAATACCCGGGTCGGTAGAGTTTCGGGCGCTGAGTCGAATGGTGTTGGTCCCACGTGTCTCCGACAAAGCGTTCTTGAGATATTTCCGTTGAAAAATTGATTCTCGGGGGCTGCGCCATGACGTCATGCGGCCTAGCCACACCCTCCGCAACGTCATAAGGTGCAGCTAGGTCAAAAGGAGTGCGAAAAGCAATAGTGTCAGTGCTTTTTCAAATGATTTGGCGACCGATAGTAGGTGGTGCAAGCGACCCTGAAGGCGTAACTCCTTGTGAGAGTGATATAATGAGGATGCAGCCATGGCTGACCTTCATGAGTTCGGTCTGGGGCTGAGAAACTCGGTATTCAGCTGAAGAAATGGCCGCGCGGGCTGTTGAAAAGTGAGCGCTACTGAGTTTCCGACTGATACAGAAGCCGCAGCTATTGCAGACGAGGCTGATAATTATCTCACTTCACGATTATCCCCCTTCTTTACCAGTACCCTTTTCGCTTGCTTCTACTCAGACTTCTTAATTAACCTCTTCACATTAACCTTTTTTATCTTAATATTTTCTTCCTTTTAAGAATTGCACCCTATTGTACACGCATTGTACTCGTATTTTATTCTCGGAGACCCCTTGATTTGGGCTTCGGCCTTTGGGGAATCCCTCAAATAATAATAATGATATCAGATCGCTGGAGAGCAGAGTCGCCAAAATGGAGAAGAGTGATGCGAGTGCTCTAAATGTTCTTTCATACCGATTCGCTTAGACTCCAGTAGCCTGCCACATGGTGATGTTTTGGTGCGAACTTGGCATATTTCGGACTACTCAATTGGAGAACAGTCCAGGCTCTTTGAACCACTGGCACGTCTCTTCGCTCGCAACTCTATACGGGATCAGAAAGTTCTATGTCCGAGAGCTGTTCACTGTTTTGCCACTTGTCACGGTTGTGCACTCATTACTGTATTAATAATGAGGCGGGAGTTGAAAACTAACATTTTCTTTCTCAAAGCACATCCACCGGCACCGCCAAGGAGAAACGCACGTTCTCTGACTACATTAATGTACAATGCGACTGATACGAGTGAAGTGTTGGCTATATTCCTGAGTCTTTTGACTCGAGCCTTGTTGTAGCTACCCCAGCACGGCAGTGCGGGAGTAGTTCCGTGTGGGATGTGTTTCTTGACTACACTACAGCTAGCATGCACGCAGCGCATTGTTTGAGCCGTAGAGGCTAGTGCATGCCGCGCCCACGGGAAAATGTCCAACTCGAAAACGGCTAAATTACGGTATAACCTTGAGGTTTAAGGAGCTGAAAATCACAGGGTAAGTAGTGTTTGTAACACTGATCTGATCGGTCTTGGTCTTAAGAAGCTGCGACAAACGGTTTCCCAATCGAACGCGCTCCGAATATGGCCATTTGTGCACAACTAGATGTTGTGGCTACCTGGCTGCACGCTGTGACGTCGTCGCCTGGATCTGGGTGATTTGCGCTCAAAATAACACATGTTCCACTGGGCGTATCTGACGAACCATAGGCCAAAGCCTCCTCAGACAAAGACCATTCGACTCAGCGCCCCGAACTCTACGGACTGTGAATTTAAAATTTCACCGGACTTACCCACCGGACTAACCCACTGTAGCTTACCCAGGCAGGCACAGTGGGTTGGTCAAAGACCATGACTGAGACACGAGAGGTACCTGGTTCAAGTTTTGCCTTGGAGCGGTTTTTCCAGCCGTGCTGCTACCCGCAGTCAACTGGAAACTTGTGGCCAGGCACAAGGGGTACATGGATGCAGCTAATGGGGTCGTTTTCTGCACTTGTGCCAGTGGTTGGGAGACTTATCCACTCACCCCCACCGTTAGGCGCTGTATCTGCCGCTAGGGTGTATCGGGTGTTAGCGGCCGTCGTGAGTTCCCTTCGGGAACGGACACGATAATTTCCTTTTTTAAACTTTTTTTACGCTTTAACTTACACCAACCAGTACTAACCCTTTCAGTGCCAGACCACTTATTCCACGGTTGGCGGGCACCCTGGCACTACACGCAATGTTCACATCGGCCACTAAAAGTATCCCCATTTCACACACCAGTAACGGAATTTCAGCATCTTAGGCTCTTCAAAAAGCTGAGAATCGCCGCTGTCGATCTATGGTGCTTCGTGGTCTGTAAGCACTGGATTGGCCTGCAAACACTTCGAGAGTCGCTCCGATCTGCCTTTGCAGTGCTATTCAACACACAGAGACAACTTCTTTCGATTTGAAGCTCATACTACAATTGCATCTTTTTTACTTCATCATATGACGCACATGATATGACGCAAGAAGCACCCAGGTGTTGCGGGAGCCTACTACTTTCCACCTGCAATCCCGCTTGGATAGCAATCTCCACAGATAGCCTTGTGACATTGTCCTTTCTTCTCTTTTTTCCTTTCTGTATATGATTATCGAGATTGTGTCATGCGTAAAATATATTATTCCATAGATGTTCTCGGCCCCAGAAGAAATGAGCATACAGAAATTGAACACGGGTAGAAATTGAGATCTGACACCTAATGTTTGTGCTCGAATGCAGCATCAATGTAAGTGATCTTCATTTGGTAATGTTAAAATGTGTGATGGGAATTGCAATGTAAGGTTAGCGCACTGGATCACTTTTTCGTCTTGTTCTTCGGAAAGAGATTATTTTACTTGTTGATTTATCTCAGTCTGTAGTGTTGACATCAGAGTCCATGTCTGTGTTTCCACTGAATGTGTAGCTTTAGGCCAACGGAGTTGCAACAGGTCAGTGACCTTGAATAATGGAGTGGTTGCATATCCATCAGGTACAACTTTCCCATCGCAAGCTATCTTTGATTGCGACTCTGGATACTACTTGGACACCACGAAAAGTCGTCTACGTACCTGTTCAAGTAGAGCCTCGTGGTATTGGCCAAAAGCGCCTGCTGAGTGTGAAGGTGAGCTTGACATAAGGGTGAACATACGTAGAGATAAACAGTTCCCTGTGAGACAAGAATGCGATATGACTCAGAAAAAGGACACACTTCAGGCTCTTCACGAACATCTTGAACGTTTTTGGTTTCACTAGTATACTTTCAAGCCTTCTCATCAGGTGAAATACACGCAAGGGTAAAGGAACAAGAAAAGCATATTAAGCACAGTATGGAGGTGATAAAACCGTGCAAAGAAGGTGATTTTTATTTTTTATTTTCACGGAGCAGGCAGAACGCATTTAAAAAAAATTAAGTACATGTAAAATTCACCAGTGCATGCAGCCTTTGACGTTTTTGGAGCAGGCCGGGTCTGGGTGCTACTTGGACATTTACCTTGTGGTGTTCCAGCTTGAGGGGTGCGTGCAGTATCCCTGTAGGACTTCGCAGCTGTAGGTCCCTTCCCCACGTTTTGTTGGGATATGTACGTGTGTACCGTGTGGTGTGATAGAGGTTCGGGTGGAGGAGACAGCTGTGGACGAAGCTCTAGGTGTTCGGGCCTCAGCTCTTGGATTTCAAATTTCAGGCCCACCATTTTGCAGTCCCTTTCTTCGCCCATCATGATAATCTCCATGGACAAGGTTGAAACACATGATACTAACGTTAGACAATTGTTCCAACGTACTGTTTGGGCTTGCTGGCTCCGGCATCACTCTGTACCCACACCCATCTTCCGGAGTTCTTTGACGAGTTCTTGGCGAGAACGGCTTGAGAGGTGGTATACTGATTTCCGCTAGCCCAGGTCGATTAGCTCTTTGAATCCCACAAGGGCTAGGTCTCGATTCTCATCACGTGACATGGTAGGGTACACAAAGGTTTGGTCCCTGCTGAAGGGATGCTATACTGTAGGAGTGTAGCTGAGGCTGATCCTCAGAGCAAGAAACCGCCAACCGCCCCCCCCAAAAAAATCAAAATTTTCTTTTGATTAGAAGTTCTGAAGCTAGTTCTATCGGCGTCGTTTTAATACATTGCCTTTTGTCTTCTCCACCGTCACTACAGCTTACGATTGCGAATCATCCCTTACAATTCTTCGTGGAACGCTTTCTGGAAATGCACCAGTATTTACCGCAAGCTGCAACTCAGGTTACAAGTTAATCGGTGAACCTCGGGTTACATGTACCAGCGCCACTGAAAGCACAAAGATACCGATATGCTTACGTGAGTTCATTTGCTTGACGAATCCACAAATGTATTACCTAACTGTTATTAAAACGCTTACGTGGAGAAAGAAACGAAATTCACGCAATAAATAGAGTAAGCTGGCAGTACAACCAACATTAGCAAAACTTGTTTTCATGTATAAAAGCTTGGTCCTTGAACGTTTTCTGGCCATGTCCTCAGAAGGATTACTGCCAAATCAAAACTAATTCAAAGCTCTATCTAATGTATATACGCTCAATGCAAGTAGTAATTAGACCCTATCTGGCGCGAGCAATGAGAGCTGAAAGAAAATTACACCAAACAACGATAACAGGTGACAACGAATGAGATAAATTCACAACAAGAAAGTAACCATGCAACCCAAAAAGTAGCGAGAACTGCTGATCGAAATTCACAAACAATTTCAATGTAAACAAATTATTTTCTGCCTGCATAAGATCGGTTTGATGGTAAAGATGTAGATCTACTCCAATACACTCAAATACCTTTGACTATTTGAACAAGACCAACCGGAAAAACAATCATCAGTAAATCTAGAGCGACAATCACTATTCCGAACAAAATGGTTAGCAACAGAAGATTCATACACCCTAAGAACACGATCAGAACCAGTACATGCTTTGGAGTTTTAATAATGAAACCGACCTATTAGTCCTTGCCGTTCTTGCCGTTCCTGAAGAGGTTGATGTTGATGATGATACTGAAGACATGTCCATTCTTGTCACTACATGTTGTGTTGTTGATGAACGTGACGATGATGTTGTCACTACCGGTGCCAATGACGCATCCACGGATAATCTTGAGGCTCTCTTTGACGTTCCTGTGGCTGGTAATGTTGATGATGAGGAGGAGAATGAGAAAGAAGCTGACGATGACGATGTCGACAAGGATGGAGACGACCTTGTTCAAGCAGAATAAGAATTAGTTTACATTGAAAATGTTTGTGAATTTAGATCAGTAGGTCTTGCTTCTTTTTTGATTGCGTGGTTACTTTGTGGTTGAAAATTGATCTCATTTGTTGTCACCTGATATCGTTGATTGGTGTAATTTTCTTTCAGATATTGTTGCTCGCGCTAGATAGGGTCTAAATTACTACTTGCATTGTGCGTATATATACTAGATAGAGTTTTGAATTAGTTTTGATTTGGCAGTAATCCTTCTGAGGAGATGGCCACGAAAACGTTCAAGGAAAAAGCTTTTATACATGAAAACTAGTTTTGCTGATGGTGGTTGTACTGAGTGCGCAGCTTACTTTTTTTATTGTATTACCTATTCTTGAAATATCTTGTTGCGGTACATATCATTTTAGAATTTTATATGTGTTTTCTCTGGTTACAGAAATCTTTCAGTGTAAGAACACTATATCAAGGACAATACAGAATGGACACGTAGAAGGAACGGCGCCTCAGTTCACTGTTCGTTGCCACCGTGGTTTTCAACTGATTGGCGATGCTCAAGTTACATGTACCAGCAATACGACAAGTACATGTGTACCAAAATGTTTGCGTAAGCTGTCCTGTAAATGCTCTTTGATTGCTTTGGCCACTTTATAAAAGGTAAAAGAACAAAAATTGGAGCCGGATCCAATTTGGAAAGAAGTATCAGCACCGACGTAATCCACAGAGTCTAGTAAAGCCAATTTTGTAACAGACCTTTTTCGTTCCTTTCTCATCATTCCTAAGTACAGAGAATAATGGGAAAATGTCAAAGTACAACAGCTTATAGCGCTAAAGCAAAACATACTTGTAGTGTTTAAGGGGGCAGCCTACCCATAAATTTCATATGGCATTCAATTGATCGTAACTTTGGTGTTTCTCAATGGATTTGAGTGAAATTCACACACTCCTGCCACTATGCTTGCCCTAAGGACATGATTTACAAGTTCTTGCGCCTCACTGACAGGCTTTACAGGCCGGAAAAACTCAAATTTCCGGCATAGTGCCACGGTGTGCGAGCCACCCAGGAGCCAAACAAATGCATTTACAATTTTTTTCACATTTTCGTGCCCATTCTGTCAGTGCGCGGGACCCAAACCTGAAACAAGTATAGAAGCAGCCATGGGTGGTGGGGTAGGGCCCCTCAACGTGGCCCTGGAATCTCTCACAAAGTAACGAGTGGGCGTTCTCTCAGAGATTCCCACAGACCCAAGTCAATTTTTGAATTCTTTTAGGTTTAGCACGTGCTACGAGGTCGCACCTTTGATACAACTCCCAGTGCTGGTACCTCCACAGCAAGCCATTTCCATACCTTGTGGGCATGGTACCTTCTCTCATTGTTTTATTTAATAGCTGTAGTAGTCAACGAACAAAGTTGATCGACAATCAAGATCAGAATCAAAATCTGGACGACGAAGGCTGATCAGCAACACGATTTAGCGTACACCGTGTATCTGTTATCTGTAAAAGAAATCCCCCCCCCCCCGGAGGATGTACCCAGTGTGACTATGTGCTGACAGTGCTCAACACTGCAGAGGCAAGGCAGGATACAGGCCAACAAGGACAATCCAGGCTTGCAAGAAAGCACCACTACCTGGTCAATACGTGGTGTTTCGGGGATTCCACCCGCATCCATTGAGTAGGCTGAGGAAGATTGTTCCTGAAGACCATAACTTTTATAGTGCTCCTCAGGACCAAACATCAACAGGGATAAAAACTTACAGAGATGCTCCGTTCTCATCCCGACGAACCTCGTGAACACCAGATAGCAGCGCGAGGCAGTGTCGCTCCTGGATCACGAGAACACACGTCGAGGACCATCCGTCATTCACAACGCGCGAGCTCCAGTTTGGGGAGGAAACCGCAAGGACTGCGAGAGTTGCGCAAGATGGCCAGGAAGGTTCTAGTGTATTGGGAAGCTAGTACACGTTAGTTTCACGTGTGCAGTGTTGTCTCGTCGTATAGGTAGGAATTTACGGAAATAGCATTTGTCACTGCAGGATTTCAGGTGTTCGGTTATGCGACAGTTCACAGAATCCAATTTCACCGTGTGATGTTTCACAGATTCCCAACTCACAGAATGACGCTTCACAGAGTGCCAGTCTCAAAGAATGCACTATTCACCGACACCCAATTCAACGAAAACCCAGTTCCCAGACTGACTTATTCACAGACAGCCCATATCGCCGAGAGTGGACAAAAATGGGGAAATGCGGCTCGATCTTCGGCAGGACGGGTAAGATTCAGCGTAACCAACAATAATATCCACACCAGAGGTCATCAGGTGACAACACACACGCGCCAGGTCATACATAAGCCCTTGATTTACGACTATTAGATCATTCAAAGTCAATTTTGGAGAATACGGATACGAATACGAATACGACGATGGAGCCTGACCATATTGTACTGACGTCGAGGGGAAAAGCAGAAGATCATTCTGGATGGCTACTGGTACGTGAAAGAAAAAGGCGGCGCCGGTGACGTAGTGTACTGGAGGTGCGAACGTAGAGATGAATTGGGATGCAAAGGCAGGTTGAAGACCAATGGCACAATGATCACGGCAACTACGGGCGTACATAGCCACGCTCCTGAAGCAACTAAAGTCGCAACCGCTACTGTGACAAAAGCACTCTACTAAAGTCCGTCGAGCAGCGACCACCAAGAGAGTTCCTCCGTGGAGCAGCACATAATCTGGCGTTCAATGTTGTCGAATAGGCGGAACGGCTGAGGGCTCTGCTACAGTCCATCGAGCAGCAACCAACAAGAGGGTTCCTCCGTGGAGTAGCGCATAATTTGGCGTTCAATGTTGTGTGTGGCAAATGACCTTGTCACACGTGCATACTCTCGTATTCTTCATATTTTGCTTTCTTTCGAAACAATGCATTTTTGAGTGCATGCCTGATCAAACTCGGTGAAATGGGCCGTCGATGAAAACAGTGCTCTGTGAACTGTCTTTCGGTGAATTGGGTATACTGGGAAAATGTATGGGCTACCCTTCTAAAAGGTAGTCTGTGAAATGTCATTCAGTGAACTGTCGTTCTGTGAATTGGGTTTCTGTGAACTGTCGGGACACCTGAATTTCATTTGGAAAATCAAAAATCAAAATTGGTTCTCTTTTAAGAAGTTGTTTACTCATAGCTACCTGAGAGAGGTTTTGAAGTTCTCATTGAGAGCGTGGTAACCATGTGAACTGTCTTCTGGGCTGGACAGCAAGGTCCATCCTTCCACGTTGAAAGGGCCTGGTTTATTTCCAATATCTTTCCTGAGATTTATGTCGGTAGGCTTCGGCGGATAATGCTAGTTATTTCAGCTCAAAATGCTGGTAGAATTGCTAGTTATTCGGTCATATAATGCTCATTAGAATGCTAATTTGGACTTGTACTGCTAGTTGAAAAGACAATGTGAACCACTCATATGGCATTATGTCATAATGTAAGTCACACTGCACGGAATACTGCTATTGGAAGTAACTAGTACTTTGAAAGTAGATTATATTGTGATGCTATTTCAAAATGATGTGGAACTGAAGTTGTTATCATGAACTAGCAGTGAATAACAGTAAATCAGAACGCTACGTCGACAGTCCTCAAAGTACTTTGAGGGTGCATACGGAATGCTTTTTCGGAAATTTAGTATAATGTGTGGTATGAAAAAGTACAATATATATCAACGTATCACTTCGGGGAATGAGTCAATCAGCACAGTGGGCAACTAGTGCATGAGTATAGGTAATCAGTCCAGACACCAATACTTGGTGATTCAGTGCAGCAATCCATTAGCAACACAATGGGGCATAATACTGGCACCCAGTGAACACACTTTTACAATAGTAGGAATGTTACTAACCCTCGATATGCTTGCTCCTTTGGCTTTGGGCAGTCGTGCGCATGCCTCACTGGGCTCATCCTCCACCTCTGTCCCGTTCTCGTCTTCCTGATTATCCTCCTCTGTCTCGTAATCATCTTCCTCACTCTCTTCCTCCGAAGAATCAGAGACCTCCAACACATTTCCATTTGAAGTACTCATGGTGCAAGCAAGCCAGCACTGCATGACTCTGTGAATAGGAAAGACAAGGTTTCTTTCCGTTTCCCATGATGGCATCAACGGTGTACGTATATACCTAGCAGCTGCCACTAAGATTCGCAACAAGAGACGCACGTTGCGAAGTCGCAGGCTAACGTTTAACCCTAGAAGTACCGGAGGCATCATATGATGCATTTGCGAATTTCAAAATGGGATTGCTGTTATAAGGGGGCTTAGAATCTCCCCAATTTTTGAGACTTTTATTTATTTTGTGTTTTGTTAATGGCAGTGGGTTGTGTTTTCAAAAATTTAGTACAGTTCGGAAATGCTAGGGGGTGCTACCTAGAACTACCGCGCGCCTCATATGACCCCACATACCATAGGCATCAATAAAGGGCGAATTTGGCTTAGAATCACACGTGAATAACGTGAAGAGGAATACATTTGGGAGCAAGGAGATTGGGGACCATGAAGGTGCTGATTTGTACATATGGACATGCTAATATGCACATGTCACGTGTCGTTATGGTCAATATCGCAATCTCGAATCCTGTCGAAACAGACAAATTTGTTTGTCCTAAGTTTGGAAAGTGATTCACTATGTCATCTGCAGCATAGAACGATATGAAGTGCCAGGCCAGTTATAACATTCTAGGAACGTCCTTTGAGTTTAGGTTGGTCTGGCGGAAGCCATGTTCAGTAGGCGCAGTGTTACTGCCGATAAAGCATTTCATTTGATTTTAAAATCTTTTGGGCAGGAGTTTGGGGATAAATGCGAGGAGAGTGCCTGGAGGATTGTGCGTTAGCAATTAGAAGTGACCGAACACAGAGACACATAGTTATATGCTCCAGATGAAGATATATATAATACTAATTGCTCCGGCTTCTCGATCAGTCTGATACGGGACCGGAGTCGAGGAAGCAAGCAGATAATGGTGGTGATAAAGCTATGGAGCCATACACATAACAGAACACCAATCTCCAAAACTCGGGCAGGATTTCCTTCATGAAGCTGGGTTCTCTGGCAAAATTGGTAGATAGTGGAAAATGTGTTGCACCAAGCAAGCGCGAACGCGCGCAACCTGTTGTTGCTTCCGAAGTTTGCGGGCTTTTCCGAGATATTCACAATTTTGAAGATGGGGCAGATGCATTATTTGCATTTATTGACCGGAATATGATCCATGTCATGATCAAGTGCACAAGGTAGGAGGGAAACAGAAAATTGGAGAGGACTCTTCTTTGAGTGAAGGCAATATAATGGCATTGGTTTCGCAAATTTACGCAAGAGGCATCCTCTGTACCCGCCATAATCTGCCAACGGCCCTTCGGATGGATAGTAATGGACGCCATATAATCAAGTAAAATCCCTAAAAATAGTTTCCAGGAACTACCGTATTTCCCCGTAAATGACTTAGTACCCCCCCCCCCCTATAAAAAATACACTTTCCACTGCCGAGGTTATCACCCCGAAAGACAGTTCCCCCCGAAAGATAGTAAGTTCGTACCCGTCCTACATGTACAGACACCGTACAGTACATACATCATATGCACGGATACTAGAGATGCTCTGGCTTCCCACTGCGTGCCATTTACCCCCGATCAAAATGTACTCCCCGAAAGATAGTACCACCCCGAAAGTTGGTTTTTTTTACTTATAAAAGCCTCTTTTACAGGCGAACAAAACACAATTTTCCATGGCGGAGGATTGAAAACAAATCACATAATGATGACGTCACATGTGATCAGACAGCAGGAGAAGTACAGCATAGTCAGCACAATCACGGGCCACACACCCCGGGACACCCTAGCCTCCACGACAGCCAGGGAGGCACAGCCATCCATTGGAGGCTGCCAAACTCGGCGAGCCCCACGCAGACACATGACACTCGAACGCAGCAGGGCGAAATACAACCTGCAGCGGAGGTGGGCAACTAGCACAGAATACGCCTCCTTCCCGCGTAGCGACTGGAGTTGTGCAACCCGGCTCACCAGTGCAGCGGCACCCTTGCCGCATCCCCCGGTGGAAGAGAGCACAAAGGGGGAAAAGTGGATCGCTCCACTTCTCGGACTCTCCGATCATATCAACGCCGTTTCTCCTGCTCGCAGTGCCGGTAGCAGGCAGAGAGAGAGGAGGTGTGGTTCGAAGACGTATAAGGGTTGAACACCCGTACATCAATAAAAGTGCGTTCGAACCAACCCCCCCCCCAAACTCCACTGGCCACCACATCCAAACGAGCTTGATCCTCGGTTGATGCTGACCGGAGCTGAAACTGCTCCCTAGTCAGGGGTTGCAGATGTGTCTCCACTGCGACGTTGTGGGCGACACCCTTCAATGAGCTTGCCAGTATGTCGCGCACCTCGTTGTGGCGGATCGAGGGGAACCCACCGAAAGGACAGGACAAGGCGTGAGCAGTGGTGAATGCCTTTTCGCAAATACAGGTGGTGGGCAAGCGAGAAGGTGTCCAACCGTAACGGAGGCAGAGGCCATCCCGGAATTCCCCCTTCGACAAAGCGAAGCCATGGCGAGCGATGGGTCGGCAGGTGAGCCAGCTTGATGCTCCCTTCTCCTCTGCCAGACTGATAGCGAGATCGAGTTCGCTGTGCTCGGTGCGGAACGTATCGGCAGCTATCTTCATTGCCCTTCTGGCCTTAGAGCGAGCCTGACTCTTGGCCCTGCAGACACAGGCAAGAGCATCATCGAGGTGCTGCTCTTGCGCATTGATCTTGGTGTACAGGGCAGTCGTGATTGAGCCAAAAGTGGTAGGGTTGGCCACGCCGAGGCCTCCATGCCGGCAGGGGAAAGTGAGCAAAATGCGCTCAGCTTCACTGGGCGCCGTCCCTCCACTAATGGCAGGGATTAGGCGGCGGTGAATGATGTCCTCCAGGGGTGCCAGCTGTTCTGCAGCACCATCGAGAACCCGACACAGGAAGGACCACCGGCGTTGGAGGCTGTTCACCAGTGCAGAGTAAGCTGTTTGAGGCTGTGACCGGGCGACATCTGTCAGATTGCACAGCTCCTGCGACCAGGTGGCCACCTTGGAAGCCAAAAACTCCTGCACAAACTGATCAGTTCCGATGGCTGGTGCAAGGTGGCGGCACCCGTCAGTGGTGATAGACACACCCGTGCCGGCGAAGATGGTCTCGTTTGCCTCTAGCTTGTCCCGCTTGACGACGAGGACGGACTTGCTGGGGTTAATGAAATACCCGAACGCCGGCCCATCCCCGACGAGTCGGTCACACCACTGGCGGAGAGGGTCGATCCCGCCACCCGGGGACGAGTCATCTGCATACCAGCTCTGGCGTGTTCCTGGGGTTGCCACTCTGCACACCAGGGAGAGTACCCCCAAAGCGTACATCGGCAAAGCAAGAGGATCTCCCTGCGTTGTGCCTTCTCGCGATAGGAGGCACTCCCCGTCCACGAATAGGCAGGCTGGCTGACAGTAGCAGTTTACGATAGCGGGTATGATGGCTGGACAGAGGTGCGCTACGTTGCGCATACATGCTTCTCTGTTAAGGCGATTGAACGTATTGGATGTATCCGCCATTAGCACAGCGTCTACGTCTTCTTCATGGAATGTGTCGTGCATGGCGTGAATGGCAGCCTCAATGCCACATTCCTGGCCTCCGCACATCTGCAGTGACCCTGTCGCCTCACGAACAGAGTTCCTCGCCACGCTTAGAATAGCCTTGCCGATAATACGACGGACGGTTTCGCCGATGCCTATTTGGCGCACACCCGGTTTCTTATCTAGAGGGATAAGCCGGCACGCCGTGTAGGCTTCCTTCCTTTACGTACTGTGTGGCGATTCGCCGGGCACAGCTGGCGAGAGCATCACATAGGTCATCTGCACCCCCGAAAATTAGTACTCATGTGGCTGCTAAGTTCGAAAGTTAGTACATACTAACTTACGGGGAAATACGATACTCTGCTACTTGAGGTTTGATCACGAAGATGGTCTCCGGACAAGACGTCGAACGGAAATTATTCGTTTGCTATGAGTCGCGACACCACGTTCTCCTTTTGCTCGTAAATGTATTTAACACAGCAGTCAAAGAATGACCAACCTGGCTGAGAAAAATCCAGCAAGTCGGCCCAGCAGCAGCCATTTCCAGGGTAATGGACTGAAATGTAGAGTTTGCAGGATAAGCATGGCAGGCAAATGCTCTTCTATTTTTTCGTAAACTGACGAGAGGTCGCCCTTTCGCTGCGCGCAATGCCAGCTGCTGGTCTCCAAGATAGTGCACCTGTTATTGGTTCTTCCTTTTAAAAGGTACCTTTTACCCCAAGGGCTTCTGTTTCTTCACATATTGCCGAAAATAATTCCAAGCAGGTATGTTTAAGTCCAGTGGAGTCATATGATGCCTCCGGTACTTCTTGGGTAGTTGAAATTTTGGTAGTTCTAGGGCTAAGCAAAACTGCCAAAAGCCGCTGGTACAAAGTACAGTGTGTACGTTACATTGTAGAGCTCCTGTTTTATTCAGTAATGCACGCTCATGAAGTGAGAAAATTCAGGGTAATGCTTGTTTTGGCTCCAAAATCGGGTACAATGCTGGAGCATTGCTAGTTCTCAAAACGATGCTCGTAATGCCAGTGACAATGATAGCATTACCCGCCGAGGCCTAGTCGTTGGCACTGAGGCTGGGTTTACATGGAGACGAAACGAAACAAAAACGGAACGAAAACGGGCTGGCCTCGAATCGTTTTCAAACCATTTACACAAGAACGGCAGATCGTTTTGAATCGTTTACACAAAAACGGAAAATGGGCGAACAGGATGCAGTTAGCACTTGCTGGCTTGCCGCAAGGGCGGGAAGTGACACGTTAGTTGGAGTTGGTACGTGCTGGTGGTCGCAAGGGTAGGGTATTTCCCGCGAAATATAGTCCCGCTGGAAATGTTCTCCATGACCGCGCTCTCTTTCCAATAGCTTTCCTGTTTACACGAGAACGAAAACGTTGTGAAACAGTTTTGAAAACGTTTCCGAACACTTTGAAGTGTTTTTCCATTTCGGTCCGTTTAGGTATCGTTTTCGGGCGTTATCGTGTAAACAATCGTAGTAAACGCAACGATTTGGTACTTCATTGTCGTGTAAACGCAAATCGTTTTCAATCGTTGGCGTGTAAACGCAGCCTGAGTCTAGAGTTATTATCAGTTGCATTACTTCGTCCCACTGGCTGATCACAGTCGAGCCACAGACAATGGTCGGGTTAAGTGGATGATGTGAGCGTTTGCTGTGGATATTTAGTACCTTTATCTTGCATGAGTTTAGAAGCAGGCTACAACGTGTGACGTGCCGCTTCTCAACAGAAAACAGGACATGATTGTGCATTGACACTTTCCAGAGGCATACAGGGTGATGTGATTAGCGTGAAGAAGGCAATATCAATTTTGGTAGATACGTGATGTATGGTTTAGACTTGGCTCGGACATGCGGATCTGGTTTGAATAACTGTACTTCTGCTTTGTTCTGAACAGAAATCAAATGTCCGGCACTTCGTCCACCACAATCCGGCAAGACTGTAGAAATCTTTCCAGGCATCGTCTTCTATGCATGCAATGCAGGATTTAAACTTGTAGGCACATCAGCTTTAAGGTGTATGGCTAATGGAAGCTGGTCGACTAGTATGCCTCAATGCAACCGTAAGATATCCAGCAAGCACTTACATAGTAATATCATATTTCACCAAAGCACATTATTATTATTATTATTATTATTATTATTATTATTATTTGAAACTCGGGTATTGAGCCAAAAATAAAAGAAGAAAGGAAAAGGACATATGGAAACGAGTTAAGAGTAACTCTCCACCACTGTAACTAGATACTATTGTAGTATCCCTGCCCGACCAATACGGAAGCAGTACGGAACTAATACGGAGCTTTGCCTGATGTATATTTAGTGTATCTCCGTATGTAAGCGTACGGCAGCTGCTGCATAAAAGCGGCTGCGCATTTCTGTTTTGATGAAGATGAGATTTTGATAATAACGAGCTATTCAACCTCCAGGTGAGCACCGGAGAGAAAGTCAGTTATTTTGCCGTTCCTTCTTTCATTAACGATTATATCTCAGGTGTGTACCTGAAAGTAGAATAAAAGTAATTATTGTTAATTGCACCGCGCCTACCACTCGGCTACCTGTTACATTGGTGGCAGCGGTGTAGTTTTAAATAAAACAACGTGATTCGACCCCAGACTCCGATGGCGATTCCAAGCGACCTGCTACCTACGTGTATACTACCGGTGGTGATGGCGAAGCTGATGAGGACGACAACAGGCAGGCTTCTGCCCAAGACAAGGAGGGTATTCCCCAAGACCAGCAGCGTTTGATTTTCGCCGGCACGCAGTCGGAAGCAGGAGCCCATTTTTCACTTGGTACTTCGTCTCCGTGGTTTGATGCAGATTTTCGTCAACACTATTCCTGGCTAGACCATCACTCTTTACGTCGCGCAAAGCGATGCTATCGACAATGTGAAGACCACGATTCAAGACGAGGGAGGTCAATCAGTTCATTTGTCTGACGCCGAGCTAGCCGCTCTGAGTGACCAGCTCAACCAAGATGAAGATAAAACCTGGCTCGCCCTCCACCATAGCTCCAGCCGCCGCCGTGGTTACTAACGCTGATTCCAGGTATGGCATTTTCTTTCCTGTCTTCCTTCAGTCTCCCTGTTCTCTTCAGTCTTCCTTTATGCGAGTGTGTGAATCCAGTTAAGTTTGGTAGGCGTCTGATCATGGTGAGCCACGGCTTACCCAGCTAACGTGGGACAATGTGTGTGACAACGCCCCTTATAGTTATAGTGTATTCAGTTCGGTTTTTGAACTGCGATGTTCCTGGCGGGTTGTGCCAGCGTTGTGCAGCAAGAGTGCTGTGGCTTCAGGTCCTATTTGGAGGACAGTTCTTTCCCCTTTTGACCCCGTGAGACCGTGTGAACCTGGTGTGCTTCTACTTTATGATTTGTTATTAGTTCATTTCTTCTGTCTACTCTAAACGTTATCATTTCCGATATAATTTGCCATCTTCCAGTTGACGCTGTGTTCGTAACTCCTCACTAATTTTTTGAAAATCACGAGGGCGTGATTATCTGTAGGAAGGGAGGGTGTAGTATCCCTGCCCGACCAATACGGAAGCAGTACGGAACTAATACGGAGCTTTGCCTGATGTATATTTAGTGTATCTCCGTATGTAAGCGTACGGCAGCTGCTGCATAAAAGCGGCTGCGCATTTCTGTTTTGATGAAGATGAGATTTTGATAATAACGAGCTATTCAACCTCCAGGTGAGCACCGGAGAGAAAGTCAGTTATTTTGCCGTTCCTTCTTTCATTAACGATTATATCTCAGGTGTGTACCTGAAAGTAGAATAAAAGTAATTATTGTTAATTGCACCGCGCCTACCACTCGGCTACCTGTTACACTATTATACAGTCAGAAAGTGCAACAACTAGGCAAAAAACTGACAGAGTACTGAGACATTCGACGTCCTGACACCTAGCTTCAACACATCTCCGTAGCGCTAACCAACAGCCTTCCAACTTGGAAGGTTCAAGGTTATGGAAAGACCAAAGAGGGGAAGGCAAGCGCAACGAAAACGAGCACAAGCTACAGTCACAACGGAACGAAGAATGTCGATTGTCACTGGACGATGACGAGACCAGTAGGCGATTTGACAAAGCGGTCTAACTACAATTCGAAGCAGCAAAGCAGCACACCACCCAACTTGGGTGGGTCAAAAATATCAAAGATAAGTTAAGAAGGGGGAAGCTTTGCGAGAACGAATTGTACAAGCTTTCTGACTGTATATAGTATCTAGTTACAATGGTGGAGAGTTACTCTTAACTCGTTTCCATATGTCCTTTTCCTTTCTACTATTATTATTATTATTATTATTATTATTGTAGAAGAGAAAAGGACATATGGATACGAGTTAAGAGTAACTCTCCATCACTGTAACATGATACTTTATACAGTCAGAAAGTGCAATAACTAGGCACAAAACTGACAGAGTACTGAAACATTCGACGTCCTGACACCTAGCTTCAACACATCTCCGTAGCGCTAACCGACAGCCTTCCAACTTGGAAGGTTCAAGGTTATGGAAAGACCAAAGAGGGGAAGGCAAGCGCAACGAAAACGAGCAAAAGCTACAGTCCCAACGGAACAAAGAATGTCGATTGTTACTGGACGATGACGAGACCAGTACGATATTTGACAAAGCGGTCTAACTACAATTCGAAGCAGCAAAGCAGCACACCACCCAACTTGGGTGGGTCATAAATAAATACTCTTAACTCGTATCCATATGTCCTTTTCTCTTCTACATTTATTTATGGCTCAACATCCGAGTTTCATATTATTATTATTATTATTATTATTTTTAGAATTGCGATCAACAGAACGAGCTGAACCGACATTTCACAAAGGCTTTTATTGTTTTCAAAAAACGAGTGGATACGAAGGCAGTGAAGAACATGGAAGAAAGAAAAAATGTGATATGGAAAAAAATGATGAACAAAAAATTTGTACTTCGAACTAGTTTTCGCACAACACTCCTCAGGAAGCTACGTTGTACTAATGAAAAACAATCCAGAAAGATACTAATAAAGAGAAATGGAGTGAGAAGAAACAACACCTATGAAAATGATAATCCTAGCACTAAGGTAATAACAGGAAAAACTGCGAAAGCACTTAACGAACTTGTAAGGACTACTAGTATACTGTGACACAAGATATGACACCATGGCCAACCAGAGCCAAACCGACAGAACAAGCTGCCACTAAAACAATTTCAAACGAATAATGCTGTCCTTCTGGACACACAGATTAGGCTTATGAATACGTTGACAAACAGCTTCTAACACACTCAACTGCAACTTATAACCATGACGAGCACGGCACAAAACAGAAAAAGAAGAATCAGAATACACCTTGCAACAATCAGGACGAGATGCAAGATGCTTATACACTGATGACTTCCTACTAGAAAACACACGCTCGCAACCACTCTTACTCACACAATCATTCTCGCTCTCACACTCACCGGAATCACTGGACTCACTGGCCGAATCCTCCTCAACGACGTCCTGCCTCGGAGCAATCAGGTCCCGTCTCCTCCCATCCCTCGTCTCACGTTCCTGTTGTGTATTACGTTGGCTCGGTACTTCCGTACTGAAATAGGTCATGGTGTAATTAGCAGTTGTTCTTCTGGGTCTCATTGATATTGAGGTAGGTATTTTTGTCGTCTCTGCCGGTGATGCAGCAAGCGATGCTGATGCAAACGTGTCTGCATGCAACACACGTGGCGTCGCCGAAGCCACATCCACCTCCGCTGGTGGAGGGAGTGACTTGGTCATGGCCACGGGAGCCAATGGTGGACTTGCCGAGTGGGACGCTAGGTCCTGTGTTGGCGGAGGTAGTGGTTGTTTACGGGGTCTTCCCCGCGTGACCATGACCTATTTCAGTACGGAAGTACCGAGCCAACGTAATACACAACAGGAACGTGAGACGAGGGATGGGAGGAGACGGGACCTGATTGCTCCGAGGCAGGACGTCGTTGAGGAGGATTCGGCCAGTGAGTCCAGTGATTCCGGTGAGTGTGAGAGCGAGAATGATTGTGTGAGTAAGAGTGGGTGCGAGCGTGTGTTTTCTAGTAGGAAGTCATCAGTGTATAAGCATCTTGCATCTCGTCCTGATTGTTGCAAGGTGTATTCTGATTCTTCTTTTTCTGTTTTGTGCCGTGCTCGTCATGGTTATAAGTTGCAGTTGAGTGTGTTAGAAGCTGTTTGTCAACGTATTCATAAGCCTAATCTGTGTGTCCAGAAGGACAGCATTATTCGTTTGAAATTGTTTTAGTGGCAGCTTGTTCTGTCGGTTTGGCTCTGGTTGGCCATGGTGTCATATCTTGTGTCACAGTATACTAGTAGTCCTTACAAGTTCGTTAAGTGCTTTCGCAGTTTTTCCTGTTATTACCTTAGTGCTAGGATTATCATTTTCATAGGTGTTGTTTCTTCTCACTCCATTTCTCTTTATTAGTATCTTTCTGGATTGTTTTTCATTAGTACAACGTAGCTTCCTGAGGAGTGTTGTGCGAAAACTAGTTCGAAGTACAAATTTTTTGTTCATCATTTTTTTCCATATCACATTTTTTCTTTCTTCCATGTTCTTCACTGCCTTCGTATCCACTCGTTTTTTGAAAACAATAAAAGCCTTTGTGAAATGTCGGTTCAGCTCGTTCTGTTGATCGCAATTCTAAAACTATTGTCGCCTCGACGCCTATTTACATTATTATTATTATTATTATTATTATGGCAATAAATAAGATAAATTGTGCACTCATAACAACAGCAAAAATGAAGAAAGTCAAGTTCCATAACGTTTTCTCGTGACTGTCATCAGTGGAACGCCGTCACATAAAAATGTAATAACTAAAACACACACTTATATACATGTAGCTAATATGGGTTCAGGTAGAAATACAGCAGCTAACAAGTAAAAAAGCGAACTTTGCACCATCCTGCCCGCTCCGACCCATACTCTCCATGATAGGCTCGCCCCAGTACGCCAGATCAAAGTGGCTGTGCGGCATGATACAGCCGGTAGTAGACTACTATTGTAAGCATAATGTCAAGGACACTTTCCAGTTTGTGG